GAAAGTCTCCTTGCCAAAGGTGCCTTCATCAAGTGTACATCTCCATGCAATACTCCACTTTTTCCTGTCAAAAAGAGAACTGTTAAAGGTCAGCCTGACCAGTACCGCATGGTGCAGGATCTCCGTGCTGTGAATGATGTAACCATAAAAGACTCCGCAATTGTTCCTAACCCCCACACCCTCTTATCCCAAGTCCCACCTACTTCAACAATATTCACCGTGGTGGATCTAGCTAATGCCTTCTTCAGTGTCCCCCTTGACCCTTCCTGTCGTTTTCTCTTTGCCTTTACCCATGAAGGACAGCAATACACCTGGACTGTTATGCCTCAGGGGGCTCAGAATTCCCCCACACAGTTTGCTCACGCCATGTCCCTGGTGCTGGATCCCTGGCAGAAGTCTCATTTGGATGTCGTCCTGCTTCAATATGTTGATGATCTCCTTCTCTGTGCTCCTGATTTGCTCATTGCAGAGCGTGATTCAGAAGATCTCCTATGTTTCCTTGCTGCAGCTGGTTGCAAAGCCTCAAAATCCAAGTTACAATGGTGCCGGCCCTCTGTGGTCTTCTTGGGACACTGCCTTTCCCATGGCACCAAACATTTAACCTCTCAACGTGTACAAGCCATTCTGCATCTTCCATTACCTGCAAATCACCAGGCTCTCCATGCTTTTCTGGGTCTTATCACGTACTGCAGGTCCTGGATACCTGAAGCATCAAAGCTCATGCAGCCACTCTATGATGCCCTCAGGAGTGAGCCCTTTCATCTCACAGAAGACACTATTATCTGTTTCCACACTCTGAAAAGAGCTATTGCTTCTGCACCTGCTTTGGGCCTACTCAACTACCAACTTCCCTTCAACCTGTTTGTCTCCGAAAAATCAGGTCATGCTTCCGGAGTCCTCACCCAGAAACATGGATCAAGACAACGCCCTATTGGCTATTTTTCCTGCATGCTTGATCCTGTTGCAAGGGGTAGCCCCTCTTGCCTCCGAGCAGTGTTTGCCGCCAGCGCTCTCCTGGACAAGACCAATGACTTTGTTCTTGGCCATCACCTTACAGTGTTGGCCCCTCACGACATTACTGCAATCCTGCAGCAAATTCGACCTAAACACCTTTCTTCCCAACATCACCTTCGCCTACAGACCTCCTTACTCCTCCCTGATAATGTGAAACTCCAGAGATGCCTTTCCCTGAACCCAGCCACTCTTCTGCCACTTCCCAAGGGGGGAATTGTGCATCACTGGTACAGCCTGGATATCAACCCAGAGGTTCGAGCAGATTTACAGTTGCCTGTATTCACACCCCCCCATGATGAACAATCAGAAGCCCTACTCCACTGTGTCTTGTGGTTTAGGGACGTACCAAGCCCTGATGTGGACTATGAGGAAGAACTATTTCAGCTCAAAGAAATTCAGATTACCCTGACTGACTTATTTTGGGACTCCACAGGTACCATGCTCATTTTGGTTCACCTTCCAGATAATGTAGCACACCTCTACCACCATTGGGAAACAGCTATCCCACACATATCCCTCACCAGATCCCACGACACCTCATGGGAGAACCTAGGCCCGATGGCCAAAACCTGGAACCAAATGTCTCAAGAACAACTGACTTCTACGGGAATAAATAAAAAGACCATTAACTACTGCACAACAGGATACTCCAGGTACCACACAGAGGCCTGTGAGGACCCACCCACCATAGACTGCAACCTCATTGATATCCCTCATGACTGTTTTGAACAAATGAAAATGGAAACTACACACCTACCAACTGTTTATGAAGCTGCATTACTCAACCCGGATCAAACACTATTTGTGGATGGCTCAAGGTTTGCTGATGAACAAGGACAATACCACACTGGATATGCAGTCACCACAGGATGTCAAATATTACAAGCAGCTGCCCTACAACCAACTAAGTCTGCACAAGAGGCCGAGTTAACAGCCTTGACTGTGGCCTGCAAACTGTCCGAAGGTCTACGTGTCAACATTTATACGGACTCAAGATATGCCCTGGGAGTGGCACACGATTTTGGCTTAATTTGGAAGACCAGAGGATTTCTTACAGCCACCGGTACCCCAGTAAAACATGGGGCAGCCATTGCAGAGCTGATGGACGCATTGGAACTCCCAGCAGAAGTGGCAGTATTGAAAGTAAAAGCTCATGGAAGATTAGACACAGAAGAAGCACGTGGCAACAGCTTAGCTGATCAGGCAGCCAAAGAGGCAGCACGACAAGGATGGGAAGTGGACAGAAGAGTGGCCACAGATACATTACCCATTTACACTATGCAAACATTGCCTACAGATCTCAGGCTGCTGAAGGAACAACAAGCTGCTGCCACTCCTCAGGAGAAACAAAGTTGGAAGAACAAAGGAGCAATACTCCGTGATGAAGTTTACACCATTAATCTCAAGTTCTGCCTACCTAGAAGTATGTACCCAGCGGTGGTCCAATGGGCCCATGGGCCAGCCCACCTGTCAAAGCTCCTGATGAACTCACTGATTGACAAGTATTTTGAAGCACCAGGCATCACTACCTTAACACAGAATTACTGCAAATCTTGTACTATATGTGCTAAATGCAATCCTGGAAAGGTCATAAAGACTGCACCTAATCATCTAGCCAAGCCACAATACCCCTTCCAGAGGATTCAGATTGACCACATTCAGATGCCAAAGAGCGGACGTTATGAATATGCATTGGTTATAGTGGACATGTTTTCAGGATGGCCAGAGGCCTTCCCAGTGACCAATCTCACCGCGAGGACTACAGCCAAGTACCTTTTGACAGAAATTGTTTGCCGCTACGGGGTTCCAGAAGTAATTGAAAGTGACCAAGGGACCTCCTTCACTGCCTCGCTAACACGGGAAGTCTGGTCAGCACTGGGGGTGACCCTTGCATTCCACACACCATATCACCCACAGAGTAGTGGTAAGGTAGAGCGCATGAATGGCACTCTGAAAGCCAGAATGCTTAAAATGTCACAAGAAACTAACATGCCCTGGCCCGAGAGTCTCCCACTAGCGTTATTCAGTGTAAGGTACACTCCCAGAGGAAAATACAGTTTGTCACCTTATGAGATTTTGTTTGGTACAGCACCCAGGTTAGGTTGCTATTTTCCCCAACAGCTTCAGATTCAGTCAGACGCTATGGTAGACTATGTGACTGCCCTCTCACATGCCTTGACCAAGATACATGCCAAGTGTTTTCTTCTATTCCAGATCCTGAGTCGAATACAGGTACACACAAGCTGCTTCCGGGTGATTGGGTTATGGTTAAGAAGTTCCTCAGAAAACACACCCTAGAACCAAGATTTGATGGTCCTTATCAAGTGCTCCTGATTACAGCAACGTCAGTTAAACTAGCTGGGAAAAGTTCCTGGATACACGCTTCACATTGCAAAAAATTGCCTACTCCAGAAGAAGCTGATCCTGTTGAAACATTAATTTATTATGTGTCTTGTGTTTTCTTGTGTTGTTGCACTTTGCCTGGGCCCAGCAAGTGGCCATAACCAAAGATAATCACGTTTACACTTTCTGGTACAACTCTTCTAATACTGATGTGGCCACATACACCTTTGATTACTGTGACATAGTTACTTGTACATTCCCGCAGACACAACATGCAGCCATATACAAAGACATACCTAACAAAAAGGACCCATACATTTGTGTGACTGGAGGAGCCTGGGGACACCATTGTAGTTCATGGAAAGCTGCCGGGTGGAATACAGGTAGACCATGGGGCTACAGACCTCAGGTTGCACTAGACCGACTTGACAAAGACGGGAAGCCCCTACTTTCTAGAATGACTCTGAGTAAACCCACAGGGTCAACTCCCATTAAACTTACCCTAAATATAGAGCACCCTAGTCCAAGGGACGCGGGGGAATATGTGATGGGGATGTACTGGAAGGGAGGTGGCTCACATAATGCATTGGGGACGTTTTACCTACAAGACATGCTCACCTCCCCAGACTGGGTAGGGACCACTCACATGATCGTTAACCCATTAAAACCACATATTAAGACCCTACATGACATGGTAGCTATAGCCAACCCCACCTTCGAAGACACTATGGCAGTGGAGACTGGTTTTTCAGACACTAATTTGTGGCTAGAATGGATGAGGTACAATGCCAACTCACACAATAGAACTAATTGTTACGTGTGTGGAGGAGCCAGGTCCCATCTGGGCACAGTTCCTCTGAACTTACCTCCTGAAGTAGAATCATGTGTTCTGAGTCTTTACACACAGTCCATCACCAACTCCTCAACATGTGAATCATGGAAGAAAATTTACCCGATCACTCATGGACATGTAAAACCACCTGATGGAGTCACCATCTACCCAGGTAATTACACATGTTACACAATATCTAAGAACACCGGTTTGTATCTGGGCAAATTCCCATCAGGATACTGCTCAACTTACCATAATCCACCCATATCACTGCTAATGGATCACACAAAGACAATCGGTGATATCTACTGGTTATGTGGTGATAAACAATTAAGGTCCCAATTAACTGGGCAATGGTGGGGGGAGTGTGCCCTAACTAAAGTCATAATGCCTATCCATATCATTCCAGATAGTGACCATAACACGTTAAACCTCACACATGTACACTCTAGAACTAAACGAGAGACTCCTATCCGAGGGAGCTTCGACCCCCATGTGTATATTGATGCCATAGGTGTGCCAAGGGGGGTGCCTAACGAATTCAAGGCAAGAGATGAAGTGGCTGCAGGATTTGAATCCCTAATTCCAATGATAACTGCTAACAAAAATGTCAATTGGATTAACTACATTTACTATAATCAACAGCGCTTTGTCAACTACACTAGGGATGCCCTACAGGGCCTGGCAGAGCAACTGCAAGCCACTACCCAAATGACATTTCAGAAATGGCCCTAGATATGATATTAGCTGAGAAAGGGGGTGTATGTAAAATCCTCCCTGAGACCATGACATGCTGCACATACATTCCAGACAACACTGGACCCAATGGTAAGGTGACCATGGCCATAGAAAAGCTAGATAGTCTTGCAGACGAGCTAAAGAAAAATTCAGGAGTCACTGACACTTGGGACAGATGGTTTGGATGGATGAATGGTTGGCAAAGGACCCTCTTCCAGGTGGGGACAGCTGTTCTCATAATGATCGTCATTTTCTTATTTTTGACCTGTTGCATATTCCCCTGCATACAGAACTACTTACAGAAAGCGGTAGACAAGACTATAGATGGCGTGACCCCTACTTTCATACACCAAGACATCACAGACCTCGAAGATGATACTCCACATACACCCCTTCAATCACATCAGTTCAAACAAACAACTGCTTTCCTGTAGGGACAGTATAGGGAAAGCGTCTGTCTTGGCAGGCGAGTCTCACGTGTGGAGATGTGGTGGACTAGCCACCGCGGGTTACCCACGGAGTGAAGTGTTCGATGCTTGTTAAGACAGATGAGCTGCAGGCAGCTAGGGACATATTAGGGACAGTAGCAGTTGTTATGGTAAATAGCCATTTTAGGGGGGACTGTTGTGGAAATAAGGTCTACACATATTTCCTAGTTAGTGAAAAATGTCTATTTACTCATTTCACGATATATATATATATATATATATATAGCTAAGCACACACGTTATAATCAAGATGGCTGCTGGAAGCTTCTAGCTCCTTCCCCCTCCCCCTTCCGTTCTCCCTCCTAACATTAACTAACTACCTCGTGCACCAAGATGGCGCCGGGAAACCGTGGGAGATTCTCATGGCCCCGGTGACATCACCTACAGTAGGCAGAGCATTGAAGCAACCACTTAACACCTAACCAATTATTGATGTATTAGTCCATGTTATCTCTGACAATGCTTATGATGTAATTTTGCTTTAAAAGGGACTTGCCGTCCCCTCTGAATAAACTTGCCTCAAGTTATTCAACAACCTAGAACCTGTGTCTGGTGTGAATTACTTCAGGGAGCGTGCACGCATTGTTTCATTGATTTGGCCAGGGGCAGATACACAAAGAAATAATCAATACTTTAATTGATTTTTCCATTTCAGACAACACTGGTCCGTTGGGGACATGTATAGTCCTATGCCGCAGGGCTCACAGCAGTGGGGACAAATCCCTCCGGGCCCCCCTCTAAACCGAGAGGCCGAAGATCCAGAACGTCAGCTCACAGTCGATACGGGAAATCTGTCTGTGGCCCAGCCACTCCCGGGCCTGAGAATGCATCTAGAGGTGCCCCTGTGGAAGTGTGCATATGTCCGTATGTTCTGGTCAACTAGCAGGCTGCTCTTCGGGCACCCTTTGCCAGTGCAGGTAATCAGCGTGGGACTAACGCGGGAACACCAGCCTCAGTGCAAACCATCACCATGATGCCGGGATAAGCCCCAGAGGGTTTCTCCATGTAGGTAGGTATCTCTTGAGTAGTGTCAACCTCCCACCATGGTTTCTTGTTAGAGTGAATCATTGTATTGCCGGGCCCCATTCAACAGCCGCATAAATCCAGGCTCATAGGGATGAGTAGGCTGGGAATGTCAGTGTCTGCTCCCGGTGTGCAATAGGTTACTTGCGGGTACCAAACTAGAGCTGGGGTTATTCTCCATACAGTGTTGTTAAAAAATCTGACTTTGGAGCTCTCGGGACATTCCTTTTGTGCCATTTTCAAGAGCTCGGTGTCAGGTCCCCTCCCCCTGTGCCGCTCATGGTGACCTTGCTTACCTCGTCACCACGAGCAGCGTCATCTGATCCCTGTCTCCAGACTGGCAGTGTGTCTGACGCTGCATTCTCCAGAGCAGCATCCTTATATGTCTGCTGAACCCGGTCATGTGACCCGGCACACAGTGATGACCTCAGAGACTACAAGGTAGGGAAGAAACTCCTCCCACGTGTTGTGGTTAACACTAATTGGAGGTTAGCCAATCAGACACACCCTGTGTGTATATAAGCTAACCCCTCTCTTGCCTCAGTGCCCTGTTGTGACCTTTGGTTTACCATTGAGCGTTGCACTTATTTGGATTTCCTGGTTACTGATATTTGGCTTTAACTCTTGTTATTCCGTCTCTCTCTGTTTTCCTTGACCTCGGCTCGTGTTTTGACTATACTTTTTTGCATAACCCGACCATCTAAGGATCGGTATTGCAATTCTCTCTACTCTGTCCTGTCTGCGTGTTTGGGTTTCCTAGTGAATGTTACACTAGGGCACATGGCCACCAGTCAGCTCGGCCAGGCCCGGCCCCACCCAACCTTTTTCAGTGCTAATTGAATGCAATGTTAGACAAACGTAAAAACTCCTTCGTATCTTCAGTTAACAAGCTCAGAAAAGACATCCAGGTTTAGGCCTGGACACTGACCACACAGAGACAATGTTTGTGGAGTACGTAGAGGCCCAGAACAGCCTTGTGGACAGATGAAAACTCAGCTGGAGATATATGAGGCCAAGCTTATGGATCTAGAAGGTCCAGTCAAAGTAAGTTAAGTCTACAAGGTGTGCCCGAATTCTTATTGAAATCCTCTCTGCAAGCCTTTGCAATGGGTGTTTTTCTGGCCTTGTCCCCTGATTTACATCAGGGCATGTTTCACCTATATTGCATTTGCAGGGTCATTCAGCCATGGGGCCACATATGGTCCCACAAAATGTGCTTTTGAAGATTAATTTATTTCATGTAAAGGAACAAATTCAGCACACTTACCACTCCAAGAAGGACATTCAAGAGTCAGCAAGAGGAAATTATTCCAGCCAGCAACAAAGCTTTTAAGGAAACACCATATTCCTTACTGTTGAGTATTCCCCTTATGTATTCTTGTCCGCAGAAATAAATCTACAACGGCAATACAATCAGCGGAGGTTAGGCAGTTCATGTTAAACCAATGGGACATGATTGCTAATACATCAGGGAAGTGTTCACTGAAATTCTCAGTCCTCTCACCTGAGTGGAAAAGAGCACAAAAGTGAACTTACCTGTGGTTACCTGTTTTGTAATATTGTGCTCAATATGCTTTTGCCAGTGTGTATGTTGGACTTTCTCATTTTTTCCATACTGATACACATTTTTTTTTTTTTTTTGCTAATATTGGACATCTGTGTTAAGTTAAGTTTTATTCTTGTTTTTATTCTTGTTTTTATTTTATAAATAAACCTCTTTAAGGATGTGTGGGACCTAGATGGTTCACTGGTGCACTTACAGTTATTAGTCTCGGTTCTCTAAAGTGCTTGCTATGTTTATCTTCCCCATTGCACTTTTTAGAACACTTACTCTTTAAAATGGAGAAAGTCCAGCAGGTCCTGGTACTTGTGTGTGGAAACTTCAGTTTTATTTTAAACCCCTCACTATACTTGTCAGCCTGGTCCATACAATGGAGGAGATCCTCCATGTTCCCAAGTTTATTTTTAAATGCTTGATAAGAATGGCCTCTATTATGTTTATGCATCCTCAAGTTAGGAAGTATTTTTTCTACTCCAGTGTATAATATAATATTTACTTAAGAATTTTTTTATTAATTTCCCTCTTTTGCTCATTTATGTTAGGGTTCTTGTTGTGGTCTGATCATATACCAGTGATTACTAAAGCTATAATACCATTTTGACTATAAATCCAAAAGTCATTGGTAACCTAACTAATCCTGTCTATTTTTATTTTTTTTCAAAATCCTGATTTTACTAAGCAATTACGTGAGGAAATTGCCTCATTTTCATCCAAATAGTGTACATCCCTTAAGGTTTCCACTAAGTTAGTTGGCAAGCACACAAAGCTGTTGCACGGGGACTTTTAATATGCAATACGTCATGTTTGAAGAGACAGTCATGGATACAAATATCCTCTTGGTTAGGAGAGTTACAGTTTTTCAAAATTATCTTCACCTCTCCGACTCCCTCCTCTCCAAATTAAAACCATTCTATGCAAAATTAACTTGGCTAACCTGCTTAAGGTAGAATATTGCGACTGTGAGTCAAGTACTATATCCGAGTTAACAAGGCGGGGAAGATTTCAACCCATCAACTTAAAGGGTTACTATAAACCTTTCATCCATAACCCTGCTGTAGCTTTAGTTTTAGTATGCCCTATTGGTCACTATTAACTAGGTCTAGCGTGCTTACAACAGATGTAAGGTTTGCACAAAACTTACATTAGACAGAAACAGAGTTATGGGCTGCCTCAATCATATGGGCCGGGAGTGTAACATGACGTCATCATGTGGGAAGAACATCTGGACTTTCATTCTGGGGGCAATATCAGCCTACTTTTATTGTTTTCTTTTAACCTGGGCCATTGAAGGGAGGTGATTCTCGAGCGCGCAGCCCTGGATCTTATTTATCACACACAGCCAGAACACAACTGGAACTGTATACAGCCAGAGGAATTGGACTTTACACCCATCTCCATAGTTTCCTAGATTCAAGAGTCAAAGATGCAGTACATCGGGGTGAGATCTAATCCACATTCCTGTAAGGATATATGTATATAAACATTCGGACTGGTTTTCTCTCTCTTTTTTTTCCTTTTCTAGATTTTTTTTTTATATATATATATATACCGGTACCTCCTGTGCACATAAAATAATTTGGATGTATACACTTTTTTTACAATATAGGGAGATATTAGCTGTTTGCTCTCATCTTTTTGCTACGTGGAATTCTTGTGCTGCAAACATTTTTTACTATAGTATACAGTACAACCAATGTATGTTACATCAAATATGATCACTGCTGAAATTAATTCTTTGTTGAATTATCTTTTCTTGATGGAATGAACCATACACAAAGCAACTAGTGAACTACAAATAAGATTATTTCCCTGCAGGAATTACTGTATACTGGATAAAATTTCCGTAGGAATAATCACTTACTATCTTGTTATTGATCTTGCTGTATACAGATTTGTACATACGTTGATAGTGTATTTTATTAATATTAACACTTTAAGCACATATTAAGCACTTAGTCATTTTTTGGCACTTGTCACTTTAAGATTATATATCTTCACTCTCGTGATATAGAAATTGGAGTTGTATTCAGGTATATGGCAATGTACTGCTAATAAATCTTTATATTTTCTTCATGTTGAGTGTGGTATCAATTTTTGTATTTTGGATATTTCATTTTGTGGTCTGAGGGGGTGGCCAGGATACCAGCACCTATTATCTGATTGAGTGCTAACACATTTTGTAATTTTTCGGGAGTGTAACTATCCCCTTGCAAAAAAGTGCATATTTCTTTTTATGAGCAGAGTTTTAAGCAGAAAGGCTGCACATACAAATTCCTACTACCATGACCACTTCTAAAAGCAGATGTGTTCATGATGGTTGGAAAA